GGTCAATGATATTGCAGATGTTTTTAAAAGTTATCCCTTATCATTTCAGAATTAAAGTATTTATAGATAAAATGGTAATAATCTAGCAAGGGTAAGGGTGTCCTAGATGAAATAATATTGGCCATATATCAATAAATGTTCAAGCTAGGTGAATAGTATATTAGGATTTATTGTACTATTACCTCTACTTTTGTGTGTTTGAAATTTCCATAATAAAAAGCTTTTAAAATTAAAAAGTTGAAAAAAATAAAAAGATTTCAAACTTAATTGGCCTGACTCACGCAGCTGCTGAATTTTCTTAGGAGGCGTCTTGAGGAATTCTTCAGAACTCTTTGCTACTCGTTTTCCATCAGAGTTTGAAGTTGTTGCTTTGCCCTCTCAGTATAAACAAGGGCTGCAAGGACATAGGTTTAGAAGGATAAACATTTCCCACCAGGTACTTCTCAAAGTAGCTGATTTATTTATTTATTTATTTTTTTAAAAAAAATATATTTTATTGATTTTTTTTACAGAGAGGAAGGGAGAGAGACAGAGAGTCAGAAACATCGATCAGCCGCCTCCTGCACATCTCCCACTGGGGATGTGCCCGCAACCCAGGTACATGCCCCTGACCAGAATCGAACCTGGGACCTTCCAGTCCACAGGCCGACGCTCTATCCACTGAGCCAAACCGGTTTCGGCTCAAAGTAGCTGATTTAGAAATTAAACGTAATCCCAGGCACTTCTACTAATTTGGAGATTTCAGTTACTATTTTTTTTTAGGGTTACTTTATGATAGAAAATATACTGAAGAGCAAATCAGATACCTTCTTTTGCTTTATTCACAGGATTGAATATCACCAATTACTTCTTCTTGCAGAGAAATGGGAACTTTTATTTATTTACTTTACTTGAGAGCTAAGGAGAGGGGAAGAGGAGAAACACTGATTTGTCATTCCACTCATTTCTGCATTCATTGATTGATTTGTTATTCCACTTATGTATGCATTCATTGGTTGTTTCTCATATGTGCCCTGGCCAGACTGAAACCTTGGCCTATGTAGACAACGCTCTAACCCACTGAACAACCTGGCCAGGGCCAAGAATTGGGAACTTCTGCATTTAACTGAATAAGGGAACCCAATCTGAAAAAGCCTAAAATTTCCAGTTAACTAATTACTGAGGAGAAAAGGACATGGCAAATAATCAAGGTCAAAAGTTGAGTTTGGGGAGCATGGCGATTTCTTTCCCCATGTGGGTACATCTCTCCACAGAATGCTTTCACAAGTTCGGTAGGAATAAGCCACGCCTTTGGTAAAAGTTTATAAATTGATATAGCAAGAAAAGCACATCTGAAATAATTCACATACACACGCATATCACCATCTTAGAGTGTTCTTTATGGGTTTAGAGTTAGACCAACACAAACTGAAAAAAATCATTATTTGCATTTTTTGCTTCCTTTCTGCCTGTTCAGCTGAATTATGAAAGGTGAAGATAACGCTAGGAAAGGCCTCCCCCACACTCATCCTTCCCCACTCATCCTTCTTCCATCCCCACACTCACACTCATCCTTCCTTCCTCGCACCTTGCTCTAGGTTCCTGAGGGAGTACCCTCCGTATTCTGCACCACTGCCTTGCCTCACTTCTGGTTTCTAGCCGCCTGTCTTCTCTGCCTGCAGATCACTTCCCAGGCTGAATAAAACCCACCGGTGCCTTCAGAGTCTACCTGAGTCGATAGAAAACAAGGCATCTTGCATTATTTGGGGCCTTCAATGAAGACCCGATTCAAATCTGTGAGTAAACAGAAACAGCAGGGTTCAGATAAAAAGCAATACATTTCTATTCTTAACTGCGACTGTTTTTTTTTGTTGTTTTTTTTACAAGACCCATCTGCTTAATCTGAACGATGTAAAGAACGACAACAAAACCCCTCCACGGCTCTCAGAAATACAGGGCACTGGACTGCCTGGGCTGCCTAATATTCAAGTGGTCAGAACCTCCAGGATCCCAGGATAACGCAAGACAATCTCTGTGGAGAGCAGCGACAGCGTCTGGACAGGTTCAAGCCTCGGACTGAGGGCACAGTCCTCTCATGGCCAGTTCTCGGACTGAGGAGAGGGCACAGTCCTCTCATGGCCAGCGCAGGTCCCAGCTTGGGGGGCAGGGCCCTCCCAGCAGTTTTAGCCAACAGCTATGGTTGTGAGCTTGAACCTATGGTCCCAACACGTGGCCCAACGTGCCTGAGTGATGTGGGCTTGATAGAGTTCAGGTGCATGTAACTGAGTAGAATCGAAACTCACGGAGAATGTTGTAAACATCTTGATCACGCCCTTACTTTGCCTCCTGGCATCTGCTATAAAATAAAGACCCGGCTTATAGTCGGTGGTGCTGTCGCTAGCTCTCCATCAGAGGACAGCGTCCCACCCAGATCCAGCTTTCTTCTCTTTTCTCCATCCTTCCCCGCCCCCACGCAGGGTCACCGAACCTGGCTGAGCTGGGTGGCACATCTCCACGTCCTTGTGCAATCTATCTAGCTATCTACCTTGATAGATAGATGATAGATAGATAGTTTCCAACACTTCGAGTTTCCTGGAGTGCTTTTCGGGGAGTTGACATTTAAAACTTCCTCTAGATCAGTGGTTTTCAACCTTGGTTGCACATTAGAATCACCTGGGAATCTTTTTAAAATCCTGATTTCTGGGCCTCATCCTCCGGAAATTCTGTTTCTTTGTTACTAATGTTGTGACTCCACCCCATAACAAAGACACAAAATTTCCGGAGGATGAGGCCCAGAAATCAGGATTTTACAAAGATTCCCAGGTGATTCTAATGCGCAGCCAAGGTTGAGAACCACTGCTCTAGATGAAGGACTAAATGTCTCTTTGCACGTCCATGGTTACTCACTATTAACAGCTGTTTGCAAAGCGCTCTCCATAGGTCACCGTACAGGTGGCACCATCGCTGCGAAACCCCAACTGACCTCCCGCTCACGGTTCTCTTTTCACTCCGGGGCACTGCTTTCGGGGGGCCTGGGTACAGACACTCCCTTAGAAGCGCCGTGTATCCGTCCTGCCCACCCCCGTTTATCTCACGGGCACTCGCTGGTTCACGCGCGGAGCGCCCATCTGGGACAGAACCGGCTCCCCGGCCGGCTTCCCATGGACACGCACAGAAACAACCCGCTGGCCGGGGTCCGACTCCGGAGGAGTGTGCGCTCGTCTACACTCCCCGCCCTCTCCCGGCCGCCCTGTGGGCTTCGGTTTGAGGGTAAGAGCAGATGGAAAGGTGGTGGTGTGCGCGCCTTGCGCCGCCCGTAAGCCCTCGCCGGCGTTCAATGCGTAAACATCCTGCCCACAGGAGGGAAAAACAAACAAACATTGAAGGTTGTCTGCGGGTCAAACACGCTCCCAGGGCACAGGCAGCCGCACTACACGCGACTCCCGAAGAGCCGGGGTGCACGGACCTGCGAGACACATGGGCGCCGGGGACGCAAGCGCGCGGAGGCCGGGAGGGAGATTCAAAAGGCGGCCGCCTGGGAGAGCA